GAATCCCTCCCTTATAACCCTCCCTCATAAACTAGACAATTTCCAATCCATCCATAGCTGGATGCTGACTTATACGAATGTGTTTGCATTGGTGTTGTTGATGAGATAATTCCAAAGAATATACAGTTGTTCTTCCACATTTTTTCTATTTTTATGCGTATGGAATGCACGCCTGTTGAATACAAACTTTTGCCCCACACTTCAGCGTACGAATTTCGTTGTCCAAGATGCCAAGCAACTTTACCGTTGTCTTCAATCATGATAGTTCCACATACTTTATCGAAATTCTCGAATGACAATTTCTCATTCGGGTATGCATCGGATGATTTGTTTGTCACTTGGATCAGATTTATGCATTCACAACTCTTTGTCAAATCTAATATGATATTCGATGGTGTCGTCAGTTCTTTCTTCATCGTGTTCAGCTGGTTTAGCCACTGTTCTAGTCCTGTTTCCACATAATCTCCACTTTGGCGAGCAGCTATCAGTTCGCGATTGATGTTCTGGAAACGCTTTGTCATCTCAGACTTATTGTTTTACTTGCTCTCTCGCTTGATCAGCTGCTGCTCCGATTCGTTGAATCGAATCATTCTGCCATTGCGTGATTTGATCAAGTAAAGGGTGAGAGGTGTCTTTGGCATCGTTCACTTGCTCGAGAATGCAGTCCAGTTTTCTCGCCACCTTATCCATTCGTCTCGCCAACTCATCACGATGTTCTGATGAGTGCTGTTGACAAAAGTTCTGTTTACAACCGAAACATGTGAATATGACGCCGTGATCACACTTAGCGCATGTTGCCTTCTGTCTTGAAAGTGTTTCCATGAAGTATGTGTAAAGTAGAGACAAAGAGAAGCTGTTGTTCTCGTATGCGAAAACAACTTTGTATATCTTCCACCACGTTCAATGTGTAGCAAGATTTGTTGTTTGATTGTGACGACTGTCGTCACAACAGGGGTGCCAGAACTGGTGACTCATGGGGGGCGGAACAAACAAATCATCATGGTGATCCTTTGTTCCGTTTCCCATGAGTCACCAGTTCTGGCAACCCTGTCATCACTGACGACAGAGATAAGAAGAGGAGAAAGTCAACGTGACTGCTTTGTTTAGGTGAGCAAACTCTTTTCTGTTGTGTACTTTCGAAGAGTGAAAAGGAAGTTTTCGTTGTTTTCAGGTTGTGCAGTTGCAACACATAAACTCAAATAATATGACACACGAGAAACGAACGGATGGATAAGTGGCTCGCCATATATATGGAATTTTTCCTCCCGTTAACCACACTAAACGGCATACTACAATACCAGCCAGAATCTAGTCTCACGCTTCTTTGCAGGCCGAGGATAAATTGCCGTTTAACCCTTTGGCGACGGGAAGCCCATATATAGGCAAATGTCGCAACACTGCTGTAACTCAAGAATCATAACAGCTAGTGACTTCTAATTTTGTGTGGTCATAGTTCTTACCAAATGCTGATCATCCACCAAGTGTGGGTCTCTTTTACTTGATGGTTCGTGAGGTATAAATGATTTATTTCTTTTCCGTCAAATATCAATAGCTCCTCATCTAAGAAAGATGAAAACTTTTTCTTTTTACCAAAATATAGCCACGACTCTACTCTATCTACGATATGAATTTCGTGAGTTGGCAGTTAGTAGTCTGTGAAATACAGCTATTTTACGGGTGAGGTTCGCGGTTTTTTGTTGAAACTTCGAGCTCCTTTTCGAAAAAAATTCACAACTCAGTCTAGGAGCATCATTTTGACTTCAAATTCGCATCACAGGCTCTACAGCGTCTGTAGATTGTCTGGCCAAAGTACGAAGATTAACTATTGTGTGCTTCTGAAAAGTCATTGAGAACGAGCATCCACGATTGAAACATACGTAGAAGAGCGAGGGTGGCGAACTAAGGGTCGCTCTTTATACTATCGAATCTGCATGCGATGTACATCATAATCATGAAAATATAATCATAGAAACTTATGATTCCGAAAAGCATATGAGAAACTTTTGTCAGAAAGATTACACACTCACCTCTGACCTTCGCCATTTCACTTATTTTGCGCCCTTTTCACTTCTCTTATATTTTCAAGCAAAAGTAATAACATATTTGAGATCAGCAGACAAAACTGGGTCTAACAGCATACTTAACATTCCGTTTTTCAATAAACAAAATTTTATTGATAGTTTTCTCTCTAGTGGGAAGGCCGGACGTATATATACGTCTCCCGCCGCCAAAGGGTTAATGAATAAAACAACTGTGTTTCGTGCTAAGTATCTGGTGAGACAGTATCGAACTGTTTTACATCATCTTTGCCATGTCTGAAAACAACTGCGCCAACCCAGGTCGTTGATTCCAGCGTCAGGACCCTGCCGGATCCAACACTAGAACATGTCGGTAGTTGTCGGAATTCGGTAAAATCTGGCAGCAACCATGCTGGATTATGCTGGAAATCCGCTGCTCGGAAAATGCCGAAAAGATCCGATCGGAACCTTCATTTCAGACATCTGATTTCGCTCGATTTGGCAGAATGTGATCAGTTTTCAGATGTTTTAAGGCTAAAAATAGCCTTAAATTTTTTCTTTTCATTTTCTAGCGGTTCTTCTCTCTGTTCATTCGAGAGAGTGGAAGGGTCCACCAGCTAGGACGTGTACAACACGTCCGTCCAACAGTGTGAGCGTCTGTTCAACAGTTTCATCCGATCGAGTCAAAAATTGTCTTTTTGGAATTTTAGTTAAACCTTTCTTTACTGAGGTACAGGGTTTCTAAAACTGAAAAATTTGGTTTTTGACACGTTTGGCACGCTACTTCTAAAAAAGGCTAAATTTGCTTTACATAAGCATTTTGAAAAGACTAGTCGTTCACTTACTTGAGTGAAGCCAAAATTCTTGTATCTGTTACTATTGTATGACGTCCGCTAAAATTCACACTGGGGAGAAGTTTCTTAAAGGTATCCGAATGTAAGCGATAAATTCCACTTATTCTAGACACACTTTATTCTATGTACGAATTTCGTCGTTTCATACCCAGGTCTACTCTCACGGCAAATTCGCGACGTGAGTCACCGAAAAAGTCATGGCGTGAACACGTAACGCGATCGCTATTAGACTCACGAAAAATGTCCCGATTTTCGCGATCACTATAAACTCACGATGAAAAGGAATTTTTCCAATCCACTCGCGAAACTCACGACGTGACTCCTGCTGTCGCTGCATGAGTCCCATATTTTTCCCAATATTTGGGCGTGACTTCCGCGGTCTCGATGTGACTCCTGCTGTCGCGACTTGACTAAGCAGGTAGTCACGTTTTTTCTTCAGCAAGACTCCTATCGCGACTTTTATTTAATCGTGCTTGCTGTTTTCTCCTGCTCCTTGCAGTGCTTGTTCGATTTTGAGTTTTTCTGTCTGAACAAGACTTGTATATAGGGTTTTATTTATTTGAGAGAGAGTGGAAGGGTCCACCAGCTAGGACGTGTACAACACGTCCGTTCAACAGTGTGAGCGGTGACTCTTGCCGTTAAGAATTTGAGAAGAACAACTATTCTTTTTTTATTTTCTGTAGTGTCGTATTAAAAGTGCTCCTGTCATGAAATAACGGTGAATATATTAATGCACTGGAAAGAAAGAAAAAGAAATAAGGTGCCAGGACCGTCAATTTCTGGTCACAGGAAATTAACGGATCTGACTGGTTCGAGATATCGGATTCGATCTCCGAATCTTTCAGGAACCTGGTTAATCTTCGGATCCACAGGAATTAAAAGGATCCGATCGGACAAAGTCGACCTGGGAAGGCTTTCACCAAATATTACCTCTATTGTTTTTGAAAAATTATTTATTGCAAATCCTTTCTTTTACTCACTTAACTTCTATATGACGTTTTTTTGTAAACGCTGTTTTGTGTCTTCTAATCCTTATAACAAATTTTAAGAGCTTTTGATTCGATTACTGATGCACTCGCACTTTTTTCATCTCGTCAAGAAAACACTTATTATAAAATTAATCTAACAAAAGAAAAGTCATCATCATTTTACCGGCTCTATTCTCATTACGAAGACATCTTATTTTGGCATCTTTATGACTTTTACCAAAACGATCGTACAATCATTTGTTTTAAATGTATCAGAAGTATAGTTTTGAATCGTTGCCAGTTCTATAGAAGTTTGACGCTTTTTAGAAAATCATTCAGAGCTGGTAGATATCTCATTTTGATCAGAAATGTTTGCTCGATTTTCTGGTGCTATTAGAAGTATTTCTGGATTTGTTGTTTTATCGCAAAGCAAAATTTTTTCGACAGTCGGCTTTTCAAGGTTTTCAGGAAACTTTTCTAAAAACCTGCATACTCTTAACATGGGTTTTACTCGCTCGCATCTGGTTTAGATTCGCTTGCCTTCGAGCTATAGTGGGCGCCAGGTATTCACAGGACAAATCATGCATGATCAGAATGCATAATTTAAATTAGTCACAAAAATTAATTTTCGCTCAGTATATCATTTGTTAGATGAATATAGAGCCGTGCTCATTTTTATTTTTTGATGAGTGGTTTAAATAGACAAAATGGGCAAGTGCTTTTATCGTGATGAGGAACTCTTTCTGACTTCTTGTCGAATTAATTTTGTTTTTTTCTATATTTTATTTAGTATATAAATTTTATGTGAAGAAGAATGCAATATTTTTTCCTTTTATGAACTATTTTAATGTCAAAAGTGGAATGAAAAGAAAAATAACTCAAAAAAAGAATTCTTGATGTCATACAATCATGATATTTTCAAGATCTAAAATTAAGAAATATAAAATGTTACTTAGAACATACCGTATAGAGTTCGAATAGGGAAACAAACAACAGTCGTTGAAGATCGTAGGTTTGTACGAATGTTTTGCATATACGTAAGAGTAGTATAGTTTTATCATGAGCATTAAATATCAGACTGTTGGTTTTTCTTCATTATATAGTAATGCTTGCGCTCGCAGTGCATTTAGAGCAAAAAGACTTTACTTGAATAAAATCCTATGACATCTGTGGCAAGGTTACCTAAGGAATTTGCAGTGAGATGTAAATGGTAAAACGGAGTACTTGATCATTTAGTTGTCTTTCATTTTGCAGCAGAAATGGTTACTGTTTCATTACTAACTTTTATCGTTATTTGTTTAACTATCAATGTTATTGACTGTACAACTGGATCTGGTACATTATCACCACTTGTGGGAAGATTAGACAATTTTCGATACGAAACATATATTCGTATGGCATCCGAATCTGAATGTATCTTATTATGTTTACATTATGAAGAAACAGACTTTGAAGATTGTTATGCCGTTTCGTATCAAGGTGTAATGGAACGATGCGATATTTTTACCGAGCCATTACCGACAGTTATTCAACCTACTCCCTCTAGTAACTGGGTGTCATACATAAAAATAATTGACTCCTAGATAGAAATTATGCAATCTTTTTGTATTCTTTCAGTCTATGTCAGCCACATGATTGACACATTGACGCCAAAGAACTCATGGGTATGCTTGTGAAGTATCTCAAAGTATCACTTATTCTTTTTTTAAATAAAATACTAACAATTAATTCTCGTTTTCTAAGTGACATTTAGGAGAAGAATCACATTACCATTGGGTAGGTCTTGAAAAGTTGATTCTAATCCATTGCTTTATATTCAATCTTGCCTTTATTATCAGATCCAAAATTATTGTTTACTTTAGGCTGTTTTCGCTCTGTTCCGAATTTAAGATGCATGTTGTCTTCTATATACACCATACATGTCACTTTGATAGCATCAGATAGTAGAACCTTTGGTATGCGTGTTTATCAATATTTCCGAAAGAATTATCCTGAATACGCTGCATAACAGCCGCATCAACAACATGAATCATGATCAGCAAACAGCATATCCTTTTTGAAATCTGTTGGCAAAGTAGGAAGAAAAATAGAGTCAAAGCATTGGTGATCTTTTCGGATCACACAAATGTTCTTTTTAACAGATTTGACTCTTTATTGCTGTAAATGTCTGAAGTATCGTTTGACTGCAAAAAGTTTTTGTGTAGGACTGCTGTGTTATACTTCACTCGATGCTTCGAGGCACTGATCTTGAATATCGCATGTTTTTCACTAAAAATGATCAATATTATACTGTTTACGAATGCTCTTACACTTCGAGTAACTCTTTTGAATTGCAGTGAAGGAGAGTTTCGAATGGTGCATGAACCAGCTGTTAGGAGTGCACCATTACTCAGTAATTTCATTTTACCTCAATATTACTAAAGTCAAAAGAGTTGTTGGTCTGAACTAATAGAGTTTATCATTTCTAGTTGTTTTTTAAAGTAGAAACCATCATTATATTCTTGGGTGTCTTTCTGCTCGTTCTTTTGCGATTGCTTGATGCTGTTCTTGACTTAAAATAAATTTCCTGCCTAATAATTGTTCGGCTTTTGTTAGTGCTACTGATATTTTAACCATATACTCATTTGTTTGGTACGTTACTTGTTCAATGATATTATCACCTGTCTGCAACGTTACATTAATCTCTCTGATCTGATCACGAAACATTAACATTTGATCTTTCATTAAATTCATTTCTGCAATGATCTGACGCTCGAGTTCATTGTTTTTAACTAGCTCGGGCATGCGATGAGGTGTTGATGTACCGCTCGTCATTCCTGTACCTTTTGGACCGCCAACACGATCTACTTGTTCTCTTAACTGTTGAAGGACAGGAGAAGTAAGTTGAATAGATCTCTCTTTCTCATCCCTCCTACGTTGTCTATCTTTGAATTAGATCGAAATGAGTTTAACCAAAAGCTCTGATTAGCTTATTGTTTACCTTTTCGTCCTTTTCTTGATTTTCTACATCCCCCAAGACATCCTCCTCTGGTTTCCATTTCATTCATTTCATCAACAACAGCCGATAAATCTTTGTTCATTGCTCTCATTTTATCATTCGCTTGAGCTAAAACTAAATTTTGATGTTTTAGTTGTTGATCCGTGTTCATTCCTAGCGTCTGTTGTTGTTCTAACGATCGAACAACACTTGATGTTACATTCGCTGTCTCCTTCAGTATTTCATCTCGTCGATGTTGAAGCTCTAATGATCGACGCTGTTGATGACTCATCGTTATAGTTAACGATGAGCAATAATACAATGAAAATTAGCAAAAACACTTGTTTCACACGAAAATAAACAGACATTATTATATAAATTTGATAGTTTTTTAAAAAAATATTTGACTTTTCGATTTGAAACGTTAAAGAACGCGCCCACTGAAATAGAAATAATAGATTTGTAGCAACTTCGAATCAAACCCAGTCAAGAAGAAAATCATAAATGCTCAAACTATTAAAAAATTCGAAACTACAATTCACGCAATGAGAGATATTCATATTCTGACACGTCTGAATGATGGTAGATAAAGATTTGAGGCTAGCGCAGAACTGTAGAAGAGACTTTAGTGGTTTGAAGCAACTGTATGAGTTTAAACTTCAATTCCATCATGGTGATAGTTTTTGTCTGGTGAGATACACCATATATGGTGTATCCCACATATTCTATAGTAAACTGGAATGATTTTTAAAGATACATATTATAAAGTGTCGTTTATTGAACATCGAAAACCGTCAGTCTTTGTTAATCAAATTTTATTCAAAAAACAACATCTGCTTACGCTATATTTTGAAATAGATGGTAGGTCTGACGAGCTGTTTGCAATTTTAGAAGTAGAAGCCGATACTGAAGAATCGGATTTTCTCGAGTGTATCCTACAATCTGTTCCATAAACATCGAAGGCCTTTAAATCTCTTTTGCTAACAGACCGTGACATAGTCTATCTGACAATAATATTAAAAGCTAGAATGTTCAGGGAAACGGTCAAAGCTGGCCAAAATTTTGTCTGAATTACTCAGGGTGGTATATATTATATAAAAACGAGACTACGGGGTGACCTGTCAGCTGCATCGTTCTGTAGTAAGCCCCATGTACTGAGGTATCTACATGAAAGATCGATCAATATTTTTCGTCCTTATAAAAGCAAATATTATCTGTTTGAAATACTTCTTGTTTTCAAAGCAAACAATATTCTACGATCGCCACACTTTATGAGATAATAAACCATCACTCAATACGTAGATCGGGATTACGTGTACAGTTAGTTTTGTGTGCTATTCATTTGCCAGCCATTAGTTTATTAGTTTTTCTACGTTGAAATCATTTATTACTTTAAATAATAAGTCTTCAATTCAAAATATAAATTCCTATTGATAGTGTGTGTATATCTATAGTCCAGTAAATTTAACTTATTTTTGCATAACTAAGGATATATAACTGCGAGCTGAGTAAAAATCCTTAAATGGCAAAATCTCTGCAGAATGGTATATTCTTTGAATAAACAAATTCTTAAATATTTTATATATACGCTCCTTCATCGTAGCTATAAGAGTGGAATCAAAAATGAGATGTCGCTCAAATACATTGCTATGATACATTTAGATAATAATTGAAAAGATAGGAAATAAATACGTATATATAAACGCGTACTTTGTAAAAGGAAATCATTATTATACTATTTAAGTTTTACAATATATACACAGAGTGAGCATTTCGATAGATACAACATCGAAAATGGCTCCAATTTCTGTTCTTCATGTAGAGCAATGAAAAAACAAATTGATGAAATGAAAGCTCTTGAATTTATAAAATAAGAACACGTTCAAGTGTTATTCTTGTAAATTTAAGAAAAATAAAATGGATGCAAAGTGTTAGGTATTAGAGAAAAAAATACCTGATAATTTTTATTTACAAATTTACACTCTGACATGATTATTTTGTTTTTTTTTGCTGATCCAGACTCTCTATTTATTTAAAACAGCATGCTGGTCTCTATTATAAAGCTGCACAACATGCTACTGTCTTTAAAAGGGTATTTTTTGTGTAAAATCCTACCTGTTGAATGCTATTGAAAACTTCTACAATAGAATAGCAAAATTAATGTTAAAAGGTCGAATCTTTACAGGATTTTCTATGTCGCTAGTGAATCACTGAACACGTGAATATCTCAGCAAGGATATATTGTTAAATTGGATAGATTCTATTGATCACCAATACTATTTTTTTTATGAATATACCGATTCCAAACGTTGTCTGTTGTTTTATCTATACTGCAGTCATTTTCAGATGTTCTAACCATGCTAGCTGCTGAACATCGTGGAGTTACTCTTAATCTGCCACCAAACGGTAGCGGTACAGGTTCTTCTGGTAACTACACACCACGTGTCCGTATTCGAACACTGAATGTTTGTGAACCCAGTGAACCATCGCGTGAAATTGTAAGGCATGAGAATTTTCTTCGACGTCAGGCTCAAAAAAATATGGGATGGTTGTGTCCGTCGGGTGTCGTCTATAGAGGAATCGATCCAAATGATTCGACTAATCCAAAGAAAGTACGAGATCGAATTGTAAGTACTTATAATTTCAAAAAGAGAATACCTCATTCATTTATTTATGGATTTTTTTTCAGGTTGATAGACAAGACATGGAAAATCAACAATCAATAAATTCAAAACGAATAGCAACAACACCGACTAAAGAATCAAGTCGAAGAAGATCTAGTGCAATCACTCAGGAAGAAACATTGGTGGGTTAGATTTCATTCTACACAGCATAACGTTTATAGTTTTATCGATTTATTTCAAGAATAAAGCTCAATACGAATTAACTATTCGCCGTTTACAAACAGCTCAGCAAAAACAAATGAAAAAATCACGGTAAGAAATGTAAATGAATTTCAACTGTAAGAGAGAATTTATTTTTAAAAAGTTTTTGAATACAGATCTTTGATATATATTTTCTCTTAAAATCCAGAATTGTTTACTACTCAAAGAGAATTTTTTTGAGTGTTTAAAAAAGGTTGCTTTCTCATTATATAAAAGAAATTCTGTTGAAAAAAATTCATTATACCAAAAAGCAGTTTGTATCAGGTCAAACAGATCTCTAACGATAAGGAACTAACGAAGTCAAGTGATTAGTCTTTTTGAGGTGTATATGTTTAACTAAACAATCAGAAATGTTCACTTAACAAAACGAGGTATCTTTTGCAGCAGCTTTCTTGTATATTCTTAATTCAATTTCAATGGATAGTCTGCTGAATCGTATATTAACCATCTATAGTGGAAGAAAAATATACTAGTCAACTCGAACTACACACTGGTTGATGATCGTACACCTGTACTCTCTCTCTGTTAGTCAGAGTAATGTGACAATGATGTACTCTTCAACTTTGAGTGCAATATTCGTTTTGTTTGAACGAAATAAAAGTTCTTGTCTCGTTCTTTGTTCTAGTGATATATTAAAAAGTGTCCAATTAGGTCATTCAATCACAGATGTTGTCAATAAATTTCCGATAAGGGTATGCTTTGGTTTCTTTTATTTTATACATCTATTTTCCAGATAAATTTTTGTCTATTTAGAACAATAACCGAGCAGATTCTGTTGAATTAATGAGATCATCGAGTATCCGTGATACCGACGATAAAGATTCTGATATTTTGTATGACATGTTAATTGATGATGATGACGATGATGATGGAGTATCGAGGTAAAAATTGTTTTTATTTTGTATTTCACTGTTTGTAACACAACATATTTTTCGAATCATTGCACTCACTGGAGTGTGTGTATTTCAGCAGTGTTGCAACATGTAGCGGAATTCGAGATGATATAATGTCACCTCGTACCGTTAAAAGTTCACTATGTTCACTCGAAACACATCGCACAAACGTGAATACAACATTACTTACCGCAAACGCTGAACCACCGTCACTGTCACCATCAAAAAATCGTACTGAGTGAGTTTATTTCCCATGGCTGTGTCAGAATAATAATGTTCATATTTAAAGCAGAATGTCTTCGATACCAACCAAACTTTGTCAGTCGGCACCACCATTAAATCCGAATAATATTCGACAAGTAACGATGAGACCATATACACCACGATTCAGCAGTCTATCAGCAAGATTAAGAGTCACTGGACATATGCCGAATAGGTGAGTGTAGGACATAAAATCGTTAACATATTAAATCAGAATTGCATAAAATCTATTGATTGAACGATCTCATGTAAAATCTGAAGAGTCGATATTTTTTGATTTTCAGTTAACTACAATGAAAATAAAAACAGGTATATGTTTAGTTCTAAAAAAAATAAAACAATTTCATTTTTTGCTCTTTAGTGATGTATACTTGCTTCTAAAAAATTTTCTTTTTGCTCCTATCAGTTCAAAATGATGAAATTATTCATACATAGTATATAGATTTAAGATCGATGAAAATTAGTCCGTATGATATTGACTCATTAATTAAAAAATTATTTAATATTTTGTTTATTTTCAGAGATGCGTTGTATCGTCAATTTTGTGCAATATTATGGTTATTACGTGCCATGTGTTGGGATTGGGGAGCTTCTATCAGTGGTTGCTGGAATATAGCCGAATGGTAGATATTTTTTCTTTGCATATATTTTTCCTTCTTCTCTTGCTCATTTGCATGTTTCTTCTTGTGTTGTGTTTTTGTTCTGTTGCATGATTATCTCGTGTATTAGGAATGAACCGGATCGACATAAAAAATGGCATCTTGACGATCACGAAAAAAATGCCAAACACCAACATCATCAAAAACAAATGCATCCATATACACATCCGCACGTACCACAGTCACAAATCGAGAATAATAAATTAATTTCTCATCCATCATCACGTTTCGAAAAAAAAGATGAGAGTCAGAAAACACCAAAAAATATCGATGTAACTTCACTATGCATGATTTGTTTAAATGATGAAAAAAATTCTTGAGATTTAATTAGTTTTTATAACTTAGGTACTTAAAAGACAGAATAGTCAAAGGATAAATATGACCACATCACCAAGAACTAGTAGAAAACCTAGTATTATGTCAGGTATATGTTAAAAAATGTTTAGAAATAAAGGAAAATTTAGTAAATAATTCTCAATGTTCATTGTTTATTCTTAGTACGAACAGACAATTCATTCGACATTCAGTCTTCTGTAACAGAGAGTGGTAAATAATGAGAAAATTCTTACATTTATTAATAACAATAAAGAATATTGGCTTGACTCTTGTTTAGGTGAACGTCGACTAAGTACCGATACAACCGTCGAAAATAGTGTCGATCGATCAAATCCTGTACATCCTCATTTATCGTCACGTGTTAATTCAATCGAATCTCTCAATGATGTAGATCTATCAGTATTTGTAGCAAATAAAGATTTTGAAACTGATCATGAACAACGTTCATCGCAACCACATACAACAACAGCCAATAAATCACGTACTCCTCACTCCTTAAGTTCAAAAATAGATCGTCATCGTAGTCCACAAATGTTAATGAAAAAATGGTTACAGAAACAGAATATATGGGATGATGATCAACAAGAATGTCCACTAAAAGTACGAGACTATTTCTCACTCAATTCTAAAATTTTTTATTTATTTTAAATAGGAACGTGATATTCGTTATCTACATGTTGGAGATGTACCTGATTTAAATCGAATATTTGGTATAGAAAATATATCGGAAAACAAAGAACAACAAACACATCGTGAATCAAGACAACCCGATAGAAAATTAGTGACAAATGTTAAACGAAGACCAAAAACATCTACAGGGTAAATATATGTTGTGTCTTTCAACTTTTGGATTAACTATTTTTTATCTTTTTCTATAGTCTTACCGATTCAAAGCGTCATGCAGAAGCCATAAACAAAATAAAACGTGAATTTAATGATTTTACAGAAGAACAATCGCTTATATTGAACAACAAATTAGAACAAGCAGACGCGTATGTATACCACAAATTCATTATTGGCTCCTCGATATTTACCTTTCATGTTTCTGTTAGTGATCGTCTAATGTTATGTCAATCAAAATTACGCAATCTTCAAAATATGTCATCGTTGAAAATATTAGATCGTGTATTGAGAACAATGAGAACAGATTTTGATTTGAAAAAATTAAATGCTGCCTATCTCAAATATCAGAGTTGGTAAGCAAAAATAACTCCCTATATTTGAATATATGCAGATACGATCTGTTTTCGTCTTTACACCTGTCAACGCTGCAACATGTTAAGAAAATCTCTGTAAGTGTATCAAGTATGACTATATTGAATTAAAATTTCTTTTAATTAAAAATTTATTTAAAGAAAGATAAGTATCAGCTCAAACGAGTATCTATTCACATCAATAACAATCATAAACACATAAGTAAAGGAAGAAAAATGAATACCAATCACAGTAGAATTAGAGAACGTTGTTAATTAATAATAAATTACACAAATTTATTTTAAAAAGGAAGAAGTAACCGGTCATTCCAGTAAAAGTCCACTTTTACGTAAGTCCGTGACGTTTTATGAGATAGATAGCTCTTTAGCCGAGCAACGTACAGGATTGAGGAACGTTTTATTTTGTAGCCTAAAGATTTTTCTTTCAAATAGTAATTAAGTAAATTCTAACAGTCGATTAGTTTAAGTAACATAATGTTTTTGCAATACGCCACTTTCATACAAAATGGCTTTATTGGCACGAATTAGGAGTAGGTCCTTATGATGGAGCTAGACATTGCTTAATTACGTTCCCCAACTGTGTACGTTGCTCGGCTGAAGAGCTATGCCTTTCACAAAACGTAATGGACTTACGTTTTTTGGCAGGTATGCGTGAAATGAAATAATGAAACATAAAGAGAAATGATCTCAAGGGTAAGATGTTAATTTTAGCTTGAGCAGTAAAAGATCTAAAATCTATTGATTTTTGTCATAAAATGACACACAATATCAAGTAGGATCTGCTTTAAATCAATGTTAAATGACAAATCATTCAAAAACAGGATGTTCAGAGTGATTTTAAAAGATATTTTCTGTCAGCATTGTACAACGACAATTAAAAAAATAATAAAGAATAATTTCTTCACTATGTCCAGAAGGACATGTTGAAGATACCTTGAATTATTTTTTTGGAATAAATAGAAATTAAGTTGAGAAATTAATATTTTAATACACATGAAAATTTGTTTCAAAGGATCTTGACGGAAAGTTCAGCGATTTTAAAAACTTTTTCTCATCACGATTTAATCAAATTATATTGATCTAGTATCAGCGTAAAAATTCAGATTTTATAAAAAGTGAGATGGATCATGTAGTATCGAATATTTTATAAATATCTGTTTTAGGTATGTGGATTTACTACGGCATATTCAAGATGATTATAAACACGATCATGTTATACAGTTATTGTTAAGAGAAATGGAAGAACTAGCGCGAGTACGTTTATTAGAAGAGAAATGACTTTTTGTTCAAACTTTCAATAATTTGCAATTATTCATTAAGGCGAATCTGTTAAACGAGTTTATCTGAAAAAAAATTATGGGATGATTGAATGAGGAAAAGAGGTTTACTAAAAAGTGAAAAAGCTGTGTAGCAGAGCTCCATATGGACTGGACTGAGTCCATAGTCCAGTCCAATCCAGTCCACATGGACTGAACTGCGCTGAAAAGCTTTTGAGCTCATGCACTTGGACTGGACTCAAACTTTCAAGACCATGGACTAGTCTGGACTTCGGGATTTATCTGAATCGAGGAATAATTAGTAAAAAACTTGTTTTTGTATTGTGGACTGAAATGAACTATTTTTTTTAGAGTCCATGGACTCGAACTGGACTGAACCCAGAATTTTGAGTCCGTACGCAGCTCTGCCGTGTAGCATAGAAATGAGATCATGTGTAAAAAATATTTTGAATGTTCGAAAAATATTGAAAACAATTGACAGTTTTGATTAAGTTCTCATTGAGAACATTTTTCTTCAATAATAAGGAAAATTTCGTTTCTATACTTTTTTTTCAAAGTGAGATTTGTGCATTTCGGTTGTCACTGATCATCATATATCTACTATCCATTTCAAACTAAAAGACCGATGTCTATTGGTAACCTTGGAAACGGTTAGATAGATTATCAAACAATTACAACAAATTATCTAAACAGAGCTATTCAATAAGGAAACAAAAGAGTAATGCAAATTTTTGCAGAGACACTTCTCAAAAATCATTATGACCTACCATTGTCATGTTGTTGTCCCTAAAACTGTAAGAAGGAAAACTAAAACAAAAACAAAAAAGCGGAAATATTAAACCTAAGTGTAATAAGAAATTGATTTTTTAAAAACTCTTTTTTTCCGGCAAAAGACCAATTGTCATCTGCCTTTTTCTGTACCGTTTATGATAAATCTACCGATCATGCTGAGTTTCGTGGCAATATTTATTGTTAGAAAAAGTTTTAAAAATCTAGAAGCAAGTTTTATGGAAAATAGGGTTTCCAGTAGGGGTGTTAACTTTCACTTATATTCATTTATATTTATCCATTATTATAAATGAACAATAAAACTAAAGTAACATCTCTAGTTTTCAGACTGTTTTCGCCTAATATTAAAAACTTCAATATTCATTCAAAAAACACAGAACGAGTTAAAAACCTCAGGATATGATCCATTTTGCCCTCTAAACGTGATTATGAGATCAAAACGAAACGGAAACTGGTATTATTGTTCTGAGGTTTTTCAGAAACCCTTTCTGAAAATCATAGGATTTGTAAATTTTCTTTCTGGATCTTCTATAAATAGGATATATAATAGCCTAAATACTCTACATATTGAGGTCCTGAACTCGTTCTGATGTTTTTTGAGTGAATATTGAGTTTTTTTAATATTAGGTGAAAACGGTCCGAAAACCCTATTTTTCATAAAACTCACTTCTTGCTGGATTTCTAAAACTTTTTCTAACAATAAATATTGTCATGAGACTCAGGATGATCGATTACCTATAATCTACCATTTGATCGCCATTTTGATGAGCACACTCTGAACTATCAATCAACGGAAAAAAAGACAATACAATCCTATTGGAAAATTTGTCTACACGGTCTAGTTTTTTAAACATTTAAACAATGAAGTACAGTGATGTAAATGCAGGGAGACCCGAAATGGCTTTCATATAAGAAAATGCAGAAAATAACGAACTTCAAACTAAAATACATTACATTCTGTTAAACATATATCTTCATACAGTCTGATGAGGCGTATACAAAGATTTCCTAAAAATTTTGAAAAACCAGGATTTGGGGAAAAGTAAAAGTCCTACTTTTAGGTATCCTGGCTTCTATCGCTAGTTGTGTAGAAATAGTTTAACCAAATAGAGTGAACGTTTCTGAGGAAAATACGACGTCTCCGAGCACTCCATAGCATCCTGTCATCAAGGTGCATTATATTTACGAATCGATGCAAAGGCATTTTCTTTTTGCGTTTTTGTAGATTTTGCGGGTATCCTACACGTTCGGTATTTTGCAGATAAGTTTATTAAACTTAAGGTTTGAAACAACGTATTATAGCTTATTTTGTAACCCTATCAATTCTGCATTTTTCTAAATATAAACTATTCCTCATTTCTATTGTGAAACAAATTGTCATCGTTTTTATATATTACTATGGATAAATATCGAGATATCTATCCAGTATATAGACAATTGTCCTATATGGACATATTTTTTAGAAACTTATTTACAGCTCATTTTGAACCAAGAAAATTCTCTATCTTTCTACATATGGACCGATCATTTTCACCGAAAATCATATTGGGTCATTTTCTTGCAGAAACCGAAGTCTTTTCGATCTATGATAAAACATTTTTCGTCGGTTTCATGAATTCTCCATCACATCGTACGATCTACCCGTGTTTTTTACTGAAACATTTTTCACTCTCTCACGTATAAATATAAGTAATCTTGTACTTCATTTTAGCCATCGATGAAGCCCAATGCAGTTAAATTTAAAGCTGTTTTGAGTAAATTGAGCGCTCATGAAATATGTCATCCTGATATTATGGCCGCCATTGAATTTGTTCGTGTTCATATTATCCAGATGCCAAATGAAGATTTTGATAAATTTTTTGCAAATAAATTCCCGAAACAGGCAGCTGTGGTATCATTGAATAATAGCGATGTGACAAACGATTAAAATCGAAATCGTTTGATTTGCTCACCCAAAACTAGTTTGTTATAGTTTTATTATTGTTTTCACTTCTGTTTAATAAATAAAATGTAAATTTAAACAACAGGTGTTTCGATGTCGATGAAAGATGGAGTGATTGACAAAAAACTACTCTAGACAAAATCCTGCGCACTTCCTGTTTATTTTCTATCCGGATCTTACAGGATCCTAATATTTAGGATCGACCTAATAACTTCCTAACAAGATCCTACAATGCTTGGATCCTAGTAGGATTTCGCTTAAGTTTGTTTAGGATCTTAACAGAATCTTAGGAAATTCTATGACTTTCAGGTATACATGGTTTCATTAGGCTTCTGTAGGACTTTTTAAGATCCTTAGAAATTAAAGCGAAATCTTAGTCGTATACAGGTAGGATATGTCTCAGATCCTGCCAGGAAAGTCATAGGACACTCACTAAACATATTCTCCAGAAGGGAGAATCTTGAGAAATATTGCAAGGTTTACCAAGATCTGTATTCAAGATTTTTCTCGTGGGGATGCAGATCTAATATTTTGCGTTAAGGATGAGACTACAAAAAGAGGTTGTACGTTTTTACAGTTCACAGCATGAAGCTATGAACTCGAAACCAAGATCATAGTTGATGAACGCTTCTTCGCGGACAAATGGTATTGTCGTTGGGCCGCGAGAAATGTAGAAGATGCATTTTGAAGTCTCAGATACAACTTCTGAGTAAATAACTTTTAAATCGTTTCTAACTTTGGAAATTCTGGCAAAAGTGAGTAAAAGTTTTAGCAAAGCTAAGATAATTTTTGTCGAGTATTTATCTAGTACCACAAATGTTGGGCTATAATGTTGGGCTACTATAATATACCGTTCGATTTTGCTTTGTCCGAGAATCCAGAACAGGAGTGTAACCGGTATCAAAAATGCGATATCGGTACCGGTCACCGGTACACAAACTTCGTACTGGCACCGGATCGGCACCGATACCGGCCAGTATTGATGACCAGTTTACCGGTCGGTAACGGCTTGTCTTTATCATATTTTGCCTAAATACAAATACTTTTTCCTTTTTTGTTTTTCTTTACTGTGATCTGTGTTTTATGTTGTCAAAGCGATAGATTAATCTTTCCACTTTGATTATGTATAGCTGATTTTTCACACGCTTTTTTTTACGAAAACAGCAATCCTATTCATTCTTTTAAATTAAAAAGTTTATATAGGCCGACAAAGTGTAAGTAATTGGAATGAAATTTTAGTGGAAGAAGTATGTCATAGATAAACTGAATTTACACGATGTTTTTCGAAAAACATCGTATCATACCGCAGAAATATCAACAATATCAGCCGACTGATTATACTTCATACTAATGCCGGTATACCGGTCGGGGTTATCATTCGTACCGGTATACCGATACCAGTTGCACCTCTGGTTCAGAATATTATGTTATTTTTACAAATAAGCATAATGAAAATGAGAAAAATCAATTCTAAGACCAGAACGACCAATAACGTATACAGAGCTTTTTTTTCAATGTTGAATTTTTTTCTTATTAATACACCTGGTCTCGAAGACACAAATTGTGTTGCTAGATAGAATCAAGTATCAGGCAATTTTTGACAAAGTTTAGGAGTCGCACTGCATTTCTTTGACCTGCTATAGAAGTTTTAGTGAAGCGCATGAAAAATGAAAACTTCAAATTTTTCTCGTAAAATATTTTTTCTCAAACAACACCTATGTTCTTTTAATTCTTTTATCACCAATTTATAGCGCGTTTTCCACTCTGCAAAATCCAGTATAAACAATATCTTTACTATACTTCCTTACTGAGTTGAAAAACTTTTATCATATCATGTCATCCCAACCTCATAACTTTTTAAAAAATAATTTTTTGAGAAACAAACATAGTTTTAAACCAAAAATTATCTATGGCTAGATGCGCAATAAAACTCTCTATCGAACCTGCTATTCAGTTTTTTTTGATACTTTCACATTTTGAAATTCGTCATGGTCCGTTTTGTATACGCTTCATCGCAAAGAAAAAGTTTCAGCTGCTCATAACATTCTTTAGTAATCTTTTGATTGTCGTGGTTGACGAAAAATTAAAAAAAAACAAAAGCTCAAACTTTTGTCGCGTACTTTAAGTCACTATTATTATGTTTGTATACTAGTTAGTGTAGAAATGTATGAAGCCATACGCTTACAAGAATATAATGTATTTAAGTTTGAAGCTTGTTATTTTCTGCATTTTCTTGTATGAAAGTGATTTCTGGTCTCCCTATATTTACACCACTGTACTTCATTCACTGTTCTGCCACAGGTTAAACCCACTGCATCCGTTCGGTATTTTGCCAATAAGTCTATTAAACTTAAGGTTTTAAACAACATATCATAGCTTATTTTGTAGTCCTATCAATTCTGCATTTTTTTCTAAATACAAACTATTCCTAATTTCTATTTGTGAAATAAATTGTAATTATTTTTATATATTACTATGGATAAAAATCGAGCTTGAGTTTCATATAAATATTATAACTAGTTTAGCTGATCTATCGTGATATCAAATGGAAGTTGAATTTGACTTGTTGGATTATTTTTTTACTAGAGTGGGACACATTCTCTGAAAACTTTATCGATTGACGCTGGCAAAGGTAACAAAAACCATAACAACGTGCCAGAAATGCAAGGGAAGAAAATACAAAAAATAGAAAACAAAGTGCGAGAAATAATTTGTATATGTCATCATTATTAGTGTGAAGGTTTTTCATATGTGTACAAATTATGAATAAAAAATCACCTGTATCGAAGGTCACCATTTCAATGTGAAATGGTAGAAAAAAAACATCCGGCTCATATTTCTATACATTATAATCAACACCATGAGTGAAACGTTTTTCACTAATAAATATGATCCATTAATTATCATCGTGAGTTTATTTCTGTTAATAGGAAATATTTTCTTTGTTAATCAAGATTCATACCGATACAAGGTGGCAACAAGAACAACAGCAAATGAAAAACAGGAAGAAGAAATATTCATCTCGAACACGAACCAAATATCATCGAATAAAGTAAAGGATTTTATCTCAAGAATACCGATTGATCCTTGTGAAATTTGTCTAAAAACAAAACGGGATATGATGGATATATCAAATAAGATAATCATATATAATCAAATACTAAAATGTGATACATCTTTGTTTAACTTAATCTTACGAGCTCAATCAAAAAAACACAAATATCAATTTGTCGTAAAATCTCATGATTATTCTATACAAATACTAAATAAAAATGAACAAAAAAAATTTGTGGCATATATTCAAAAACTAAAACGACGTACTATTTATAAAAGATCAATTCGTTTTATTAATTTTGAAAAGTTTAATAAATCACAGCCATTTTACATTAGTCTATTACAAAATCCATTTGAACGTATCTTGTCGGACTACTACTATTCTCGATATCTATGTAAGAAAAAATCTAGTATCTGCTTTATAAGAAACAAGAGAATTCTACATGAATCATTAGATGATTGTCTAATACGAAATAAAAATCAATCTTATTTTTGTATTTCATCTAAATCTGGTGTTAATTCTCCAATAGCCTATTTTTGTGGTCAAAAATCATTCTGTGATCAATATAATTCTAGACAAGCTCTTGATCGTGCAAAATCAAATATTGATAAACATTATCAATTCGTTGGTATTACAGAAGATTTGCCCAAAACATTTTTGTTATTGGAAAAATTGATACCAAAATATTTTAAAAATATCACTACTGTCTACAATCATCATCATTTACGATATAAAACAAAATCAAAACATTATATACAAAAACCAACCGCTGCAACAGCACAATGGATACAAAATTTACTACAAAATGAGATTGAACTGTATGACTTTATTAAACAACTATTTTATAATCACTATCGACGTTTAAAATGAGGGAACGAGATAAAATGAGGAGAAACGATCTTTTTTTGGGAAAACTAAAGATAAATTAATTTCTTGTGAAAAGAATCATTTTGAATTAATATTGAAGGTAAATATCGGAATATTTTTTCGGTATTTATGCATAGAGTTTTCTTCTTTTTGACACACTAATATCAAAAGTAAGGGTAAGTATTTGATTAGAGATAAACTAGGATTAAAGGTTCTCTTTGGGCTCTCAAATATGCGCATGGAATAAACAAAGAAAAAGGAATCAGACATAAGAAAGATATGACAATTACATGAAAAATTCAAAATCTCTTTTCCTTCCGTTTATCTAACACCCTTGCGATTTTCTCATCCTCTGATATTGTGAATAAATAGCGAAGTTTTTCGTTATCTGGATGTATTATTAGTTCATAAGTTTTGAAAAATAAACGAGACAAACCATTGAACAACCTATATTGTTTATCCAATATAACATTGGTACACTAGCCGATTGTTTGTCAAAACAACACCACAAACAAATTCAGATCTTATTGTAAAAGGCGCGTATGGCATCGACAACTGAATTAAAACCATTTAGTAGAGGCAATGATGAAGAAATGTCAGAATAACTTATTAGATTCAATGTATTATGTACAGCAGCCAATATCCAAAATGAGAAATACCAATCACTATTACTATTATATTTAAAATCGGATACAGGATAGAATGGTGATAGAAAAACTTAGATCAGAGATGCAACTGATCAGAGATGCAATCACTCAAAACTGTAGGAATAAAATTATAAACTGACAGACAGCTTGCCAAAGAAAAACAATGAAAATAAAAGCGTAAAAAGGAAAATCGTGAAAGAGTTACTCATGCTTTTTAGTTGATAGTTTTATAGAAGCTTCAAAATTCATAAAAAAATGTTCAGTTTCAGCCGTTAGCACGTCAGAAAGTCTTTCTGATAAACTAACGTAAGTTTCATAGAGTGAGTCTTGGGATTTTTGACAAATCTATCTCACACCTAGGAATATTCAATAAAAAGCATTAGCCAGGCAGATAAGAGAGAACTGGCACCCAGAGAGGGTGGATGTTATCTGAAACACGTATCGATGACTCCAGCCGCCGGCAAGCATCCAAAACAGTTCAACCCATATGTTTCGAAATAGAAGACGTCATCAAGCGCATGTTTCTCCAAAATATGCCTATTTTGTGAACTTTCTGGTTTTACAAATTCTTTTCTTTGAAGCTGCGACTGTCCTGAAATTGTTCTGATGCCCATTGTCTTAGAAGATAGAGGCGAAGGGTATAGCGAATATCCCGCCCTAAAATGGTATCATATGCTATCTGTGCATACACTGTTAAAAATCTGTGTTCTTCAAAAAACAAAAAAAATGATCTTCATTTGTCCCCTATAGAGATCATATATGTGTTCTCCAAAGATTTGTACAACAAGAATCTTCAGTTTTCTGAAGAACAAA